TAATCCCAGCTTACTCAGGAGGTGGAGATCCAAAGATACGGTTTGAGGCCAGCTGGGAAGGAAAAGTCCATGAGACTCTTTATCTCCAATGAATCACCACAAATGCCAGTAGAACTGTGGCTCAAATGGCAGAGCACTAGTCTTGAATGAATAAAAGCTGAGTTTGGGCTGGGAAGGTGGCTTAGTGGTAGAGTGCTTGCCTTGCATGCCTGAGGCCCTGGGTTCGATTCCTCAGCACCACATAAGCAGAAAAAAGACAGAAGTGGTGCTGTGGCTCAAGTGGTAGAGTGCTAGCCTTGAGCTGAAGAGCTGAGGGACAGCGCCCAGGCCCAGAGTTCAAGCCCTAAGACTGGCTTTTAAATACACAAGAGGCACTTGGGTATTGCACCTTTTTCCCCATTACACTGTATGTGATTATCTAGAATTCTGTGTAATTCATCAAGTCCTGGTGCGTTTTTAGATCAGGGAAAACATGTACCAATTGTCTCTCTGAGCTTGGCTTACCTCACTTAATATGATTTGTTCTAGGTCCATCCGTTTCCCTGCCAATATCATTTTATTCTTCCTGGTGGATGTGTAAAGTTACAATGTGGATAGGTGCCACCTTGTTGGCTCCACTCATCTATTGGGGGGCCTCTGGCTTGTTTCCGTAGCTTGGCTATGGTGACTAGTGCAGCAGTGAACATGGGTGTGCAGGCGTCCTCATCAGCAAGCACAGGGCTAGGCCAGCACCGCGCCCCTGAACTATGCTGTAGCCCCAACACAATCTCACTTTTTAGTAAGAGGAGGCGGCTTCAGGCCTAGCACCTGCCATCACTGAGAGCCCTTGTCTAGAATTTTCTTTTCTGTGGATAACTCGAATTCCTGGTGGCTTATGAGTTTCTGGAAATGAGGGGAAATCTCTGACAGGCAAGTCAGTAGGGCTGCTTTGTTGTGTGCAGTCGGGGTCGGATGTCTCCTGCGAGTTTTCCGCGCCAAGCTGCTGCGCCAGCTCTCCAGCCACAGCTCCACCTCTACGTTTTGGTTAAGTGTCTCGTGGCCTTTCCTGCCCAGGCTGGTTTCCAACCACGATCCTCACCTCTCGGCCTCCTGGGTAGCCGGGATCACAGGCGTGAGCGACGCACCGGGCATCGTTTGTGTTTTCCTCCTTCACCTTGGGCTCTGCGCCCAGTCTGGCCTGTGGTGGGCCGACGCGCCTGCGCAATGGGAAGCACAGCCGCGCGCGCGCGCAGAGCGCCCTCCTCACACGCAGGCGCACAAGGAGCAAGGGTGTCCCAGCTTTACACACACGCATGCGCAGGTGGGAGACAAAGGCCGAGGTGGAGCATGGCCATCGTCGTGCGCATGCGCGACCAAAGGCGGGAGTTAGAGGAGGACCGGCTCCGTGGTTCCGCGCATGCGCAGTGGATGCCGGCACTTAAGACACCAGTTCTACCACTGGAGCTCACTGAAGGCTCTCCACGCCTTGGTTTCCACATTTTACAAATTCATCACCATCCTCCCCCATGCCTCCAAGTCCCACCCTCTCTCTTTTTCGTGTGTGTGTGTGTGTGTGTGTGTGTGTGTGTGTGTGTGTGTGTGCTAATCCTGGGACCTGAACTCCAAAGCCTAGTGGTGCTCTACCACTTGGGCCACACAGCTCCACCTCTGGCTTTTTGCTGATCAGAGGTAACAGTCTCCTCGACTTCGCTGCCTGGGCTGGTGGGCGCCTCAGTCCTCAGATCTCAGCTGGAATGCCAGGCGTGAGCCACTGGTGTCAGGGCTTTGCCTTCCGTTTCCTGCTGGGCTGGACCACAGAGGCGAGCCCCCCCCCCCCCTGCAAGCCCCCAAGCCGGATACCAGGATTAGCATCACATCAGCCCTGCAAGATCCCAGCTCCCCCCTGCCACAGCTCCGGGACCTGGCACTGAGCCCGTGTGCCCACATACATGCTACTCATTGATGGCACAAATAAGTAATGAGCAGACAGGAGTATAACAGAAAGGAGGTCAGGTTAAGCGCGTAGAACAATTCAAGACAAAGACTTCCAACTGAGTCCAGAGACCCAGCAGAGCCTGGGCCCTGGAGGCTCTCACACCTGCAATCCTAGGATTCCGGAGGCTGAGACCTGGAGATCACAGTTCAAAGCCAGCCTGGGCAGAAAAGTCTGTGAGACTCTTCTAGCTCCAATTCACCAGCAGAAAGCCAGAAGGGGCGCTGTGGCTCAACGCGCTAGCCTTGAGCAGAAAAGCTAAGGCCCTGAGGTCAAGACCCCAGGCTTGGCACAAAAACAAAACAAACCAGAAACCCAGAAGAATGCCAAAACAGCCCCATCACCAGCCAGCACACGAGGTCCAGAGCCACAGCCGGCCGCCTGGGATGTCCGGAGCTGGAGAAATGACACACTGACCAAGTCCCAGAGCCGGCCCTCCACTGATCGCAGCCAGGCCACCCCCTGCCCAAGGGGCCTACCGCAGACCCAGCTTGTGGGCTGCCATCAGCCCAAGCTCAGCTCCCACAGGTGTCTGAAGGCTGCCCTGAAGAAGGGGGGCTTTCAACGTGATCCCCAGCCACCCTGCCTTCACCTGCAACGTGGAGCCATGAGAGCTGCTAGCCCTGCCAAGCAGGAGATGGCACTGTTAGTTCCAGCCTTACGCTGCAACATCCACGTGCCTGTGATACCCAGGACTGTGGCTGGCACACAGTAGGGTCAATGCTTGGCACACAGTAGGACCAATGCCTGGTTCACACCTGAAATGGTTCTGTGGCACACAGTAGGAGCGAGGGAAGGTACAGCCAAGCCGGCCAAGGTGCTGGATCCCTGCACCCCCTCTTCTTTCTCTCCCTCAGGGTGAGGGGTCCCCCCCCCAGGGAACCCTGTAACCCTCCTTCCTCAGGCTGCAGGAAAGCACAAAAAGAAGGCGGAAGTCCCACCCTGGAATGTGGCCAGGAGGGGAGAGGACTGTTCCCAAGGGTGGGGTGCAGGGGAGAAGAGGTCCTGAATGAATGAATGAATGAATGAATGAATGAATGACTGGTTGGCCCAACCTCAGGCCGGCAGGGCCGTGTCCCAGCAAAACAGGAAAATCAGAGAGGAAAAATGCGGGCGTCAGTGGACTGGTATTTACAGGGAGCAGCCCTGCCTTGACCTCAGACATGGGAGGAGGGACGAGGAAGGAGGCAGGGGTGTGGAACACACACACACACACGCACACACGCACACACGCACACAAAGGGAGCACTTAGGGGGGGCTACCTCAGCCCCCCCAGCCCCAGGAGGCCATCCTGGAAAGCTAGGAGGGTGAGTCTGGGTGAAACTTGAGCAATTCCACCTGCAGACCTTCCACTTGGCCGCCATTCACATGTACAGACACGTGCGGTAAAGACAGGCCAGGACTTTGTCCCCAAATACCTGACACACAGGTGGCCTGGTGAACCCTGAGACTGTTAACCTCCACGCCAGAGTGCTGGACAGGTCCGCAGAGAGGCTGATCGGCCCTCCCTGACACCGCCTGCACCTGCACCTCCGCTTGCTTTCCTTTCTTTCCTCTTTATTTTTTGGTGCTGGCCTTGGGGCTTGAACTTGGCGTCCAGATGTCCGATCTGAGCCTTTGTGCTGAAGGCTGGTGCTCGACCACTTGAGCCACAGCTCCATTTCTGGTTTTTGCTGTTGCTGAGGGTTCACTGGAGATAAGAGTCGTCATGGATAGCTGGGCGCCGGTGGCTCACGCCTGTCATCCTAGCTACTCAGGAGGCTGAGATCGGAGGATCGGGGTTCAAAGCCAGCCTGGGCAGGAAAATCCAGGAGACTCTTATCTTCAATAAACCACCAGAAAACCGGAAGTGACACTGTGGCTCAAGCGGTAGAGCGCTTGCCTTAAGCTGAAGAGCTGAGGGACAGCGTCCAGGCCCAGAGTTCAAGTCCCACAACCGATCAAAAAGAAAAGAAAAAAAGTGTCTCATGGACTTTCCTGCCCAGGCTGGCTTCAACCCTGATCCTCAGTCTCAGGCTTACTGTAACCTCTCATTCCCTCAGCCCTGGCTCCACCCTGCAGCCATTTCTGCCTGACCTCAGGGCCTTTGCCTGTGCTGTGCCCTCTCCCTAGGCCTCTCCCTTTCTCTTATCACTTCATGAAATCCAGCAAATCTCAGCCATACTGAGAGATGGCTTTCACACAATGTCCCTTACTGGGACTTTCCCACAGAGTCCTAGCCGGGCACCAGGGGCTCACGCCTGTCATTCTAGCGACTCAGGAGGCTGAGATCTGAGGATCGTGATTCGAAGCTGGTGCAGATAGGAAAATCCATGAGGATTATCTCCCCTAAACAAACAAACAAACGAACAAAAAAGCCTGAAGTGGAGTTGTGACTAAAGTAATAGAGCAGCAGCTCAGGGACAGCACCCAGGCCCTGAGTTCAAGTCCAGCACCAGAGAGAGAGAGAGAAAGATAAAAAGAAAGAGAGAGAGACAGAGACAGAGAGAGAGAGAGAGCCTGCTAATGTCTCCCATGGCCCAACCCAACACATCCAGTCCATACCCCAGGCCCTGCCACCTCCCCGTTTGTCGCTGGGCACAAAGCCCGCCACCAGAATCGCCATTCCGTCCCCTCTTCTGATCCCACTCCAACCCCGCCTCCTGCTCCTCCCGAAAGCCCCACCCCCCAGCTTGACCCGTGGTCTCATGTGCTCTGCTGCCAGCCCATGCCCACTACGTACACAGACCTTGACCTCTGCACGTATGACCTTGAGCCCTGCCTGACCTGTAAGAATGGAGCCTGGCTTGTCAACAAGCCTCTGCTTCATTGAAGCCACATTCGAGGCCACCTGCGTGAGTCTAGTGCTCAGCCCGGCCCAGTCTCCCCCTCCCCACCCCACCCCCACCAGGGGACAAAGTGGGGGATGGCCCTGTGCGGGCACCCCTCCCCCGTGCAAGCTTAGGCCCCATCCTAAGTCCTGCACAAAGCTTCCAACCTTCATCCTCAGATCTCAGCCTCCTGAGTAGCTAGGATGACAGGTGTGAGCCACCGGCGCCCGGCTGGAAATCCTGCTCAGAAAAAACAACTTTTTTTTTTTTTTTAAATACTACTGTATTTGGGTTTGAACACAGGGCTTTTGCACTTATTCAGCTGGCTTGCCCAAATGGTGCTCCACCACTTGAGCCAATCTTCAATCCAGCTTTCCGCTCGTTATGGTTTGGAGATGGGAGTTTTGTGGGCTTTTCTGCCTGGGCTGGCTTAGGACTGCAATCCTCCAGATCTCTGCACTCCTGCTAGGAGTGTGTGTGGGAGCCACTGGCACCTGGACCCTACAGAGAAAGATCTTAAATCCACAAGGGAGCCAGTATCAAGATGCAAACACAGAACTATCTGAGCAAGCCCAGCACTCATAGCTCACGCCTGTAATCCCAGCGAATCAGGAGGCTGAGATCGAAGGGTCATGATTCAAAGCCAGCCGGGGCACAAAAGCCCTTGAGACTCTTTATCTCCAACGAAACACCAAAAAGCCAGAAGTAACAACAACAACAAAGCAAGTGAGGGCATGAAGCCTTGAGTTCAAGCCCCAGTACCAATTTAAGAAACAAAAAAAAGTGGGGTGGGGGGAAGAAAGCGTTGGCATTTATTCCAATTTCCCTTATTAGTAGGAGCATCACCCCAAGTTTGCAAGCCCTGCTTGGGGGCGGGGTCTGATGACATTGCACAGATGGGGAAAAGAGGGGGTGATGAGAAGGGAAATGGAGTGGGTGCACACAACCCTGTTTGCAGATCATGTCCAGAAAGGTTGTTTGAATAGCCCGAGGACACACAGCAACCAGGGGACAGTGCCTGGAGAGGAAGGCAGACCCACGAGGCCCGGAAGCCCTGGGTTCGCATCCCCCGCAACCCCAAGCCCCACCCAGTCTTCTAAGCAGGCCCCCCCAACTCTTCATGGACGCCCCGATGGTGACTGTGGAGTGGCCAGGCCGGGCTGGGCAGAGGCGGGCACCCCAACTTCTCCTGCTTTGGGTTAACTTAGCATGACTCAACCCTGACAAACTACCTGGTATCGGGGTCACCTGGTTCCTCAGTGCAGCAGAGCTGGGGTCATCCGAATGAGCCGTCCTGCCACCTGCTTGCTGGGCTTCCTCTTCAGTTTCTAGAATCATCTATCCCACAGGCAAAGGAGCTGGCTGGGCTCATCTCAGGGGGCCCTAAGGCCTCTAAGATGACCGATTCTAATCAGCCCGGAACTTTCCTTGATGCACACCTAACCCAGTGGGGAGAGAGTCACCCTACACCACTTCAGGGGGGTAAGAGCAGGAAGGGACCCCTCCCCGATCCCATGGCTTCCACCCCCTGAAGCTCCTTTCCTCCCCAGAGACTTCAGTGTGGACAGAGTTGGGGACACATCTTGGACAAGGGACAGAGAAGACTCAGCTCACAAGTCTGCCTGGTACCAGTGCTCACACCTATAATCCTAGCTCCTCAGGAGGCTGAGCTCGGAGGAGCACAGTTGGAGGCCAGCTGGGCCAGGAAAGGCCACGAGCCCGAAGTAGAGTTGTGGCTCAACTTGCCGAGCACCAGGCTTGAGTGAAAAAAAAGCTCAGGGACAGGTGCCCAGGCCCCGAGTTCAAGCCTGAGGACTGGCGCTAAAACAAGTCTGTCACTCGCACCTGATTCCAAGTCCTTCGCACAGACGTTGCTGCACACATAAGGAGAGCTACGACCTGATAAAGTCCTCATCAATGGGCGATCCTGACTGCAATTAACCCACTGACCACAGCTCCGCTGCACCCGCCCTGATCACTCGCCCGGCAATTAGTCTAATTGGCAAAATCACACCGTCCAACACGGGGCTGGTGTCTGGTGTCTGCGTCAGGCAGGGCAGGGCCTCTGCATTTCACGTCATTGGAAAGCCGACCTGAATAATGCACAAGTCAGACACCGCCTACGGAAAAGGGCATGCAAATGAGATGCAAATGAAGACAAACGTTCGGAACAGGTGTGTGTCTTCGGCCCTTTGCTAAAAACCTCCTCTCACTACCCAAACCTCCCTCAACCTCCGATTTTCCTCATCTGCACACCAAACTATGACTGTGCAAAGCTAGGCCTTTCTCAAGATTCAAGGCCCGTTAGCGGATTCTGTAACAGCCACCCATCAATGGCGGCATCCATCTTCAGAATTAAAGACTTGAATCCTGATGTGTGTGCGTGTGTGTGTGTGTGTGAGTGCATGCGCGTGTGTGCACGCAGGCATGCCAGTCCTGGGGCCTTAACCCAGGACCTGGGCACTGTCCCTTGAGCTTTGTTGCTCAAAACTGGTGCTCTACCACTTGAGCCACACCTCCACTTCAGGCTTTTTCGTGGTTCACTGGTGATCAGTCTCATGGATTTCCTTGCCTGGGCTGGCTTTGAACTGCGATTCTCCAGATCTCAGCCTCCTGAGTAACTGGGATGCACCATGGCACCCAGCTCTGGTGGGAGCCTCTTTCCCAGCCCAGGCCCTGAGTTCAAGCCCCAGGACTGGCAAAAAAAAAAGAAGAAGAAAGGGCGGGAGGATGTAAGGAAGGAAGGCAGGCAGAGAGGGAGGGAGGGAGGAAGAAGGAAAGGGAGAAGGGGAAGAAGGGAAACGGGGAAAAAGAAGGGGAGTCTTCAAGATTTGTCCTTGAAGCCGGGCACCGGTGGCTCACGCCTGTAATCCTAAACTACTCAGGAGGCTGAGATCTGAGGATCTCGGTTCAAAGCCAGCCCGGGCAGGAGAGACCGTGAGACTCCTATCTCCAATAAACCACCAGAAAACC